GAGCTGACACCCGTGATGGGACCCTCAAATGTCCACTAGTTTCTTTGAGTGGGTGGAGATTCCATAGGAGCAGGTGTAAGAACATTGAGCTTGATATGAGGAATGGGATCTATAGAGGTGCCAGTACAACGCCAGGGGGTAGCATGGGGGACTCGGTACATTGTGTTAGGGCCGAGGCGAGGAGCATCGACAACAAAGGTGAAACTGCGGATTGAGAGCTGTGAGTGGTACATTGTGTCGAGAAAAAGATAAGAGGTGGTTTGAATTAGTGAGGAAACAGGATAATCGGGTAATGAACAGATCACACACGCTGAAATGTTCTCAGGGTGAAGGCTGCGATATAGGGTGGAGAGTGGGTTTAATAGGAAGTGTCCCTGGGGCATGCGTGTTAGGGCCGGAAGAGGTATAATGTATTGGATCCGGATTCGTGTTGACTTTGGAATTGAAAAAGAAATTCAGGTTTTAGATCCTATACCAGGAGCGGAATGCGATTCAGATCGACAACATCTTGTCCCTACGCATAACTTTTTGCTGGTGCGGTGATAATTTCCGAAATCTAGGCATGACACCTAACTGAAAAAGCCAAATGCATCGATGGGCATTCCTATTTGCCTTGTCTAAATTCCTATTCCTGTCCGTAAATGCTGTACTCCCATCGCTGTACTGCTATCAAGTTTTGTCTAAATTCGACAACAACTACTTAAAACAGTAAAAAAATAAAATGGATGGTGATCAGGAGGAAAAGGAAGCGCAAGAAGCCATATAAGATGCTGAAAAAGGAATAAATATTTTGGACCGATAGAGAACAAAAGCGACCAAAAGTTATTTAAGAAGCGACGATGATAGAGATAGAAGTTAAAGGAATGGTCAAACTGCAGGTTCAGTACAAGAATTAATGTCTTGTCGACAGTGACACTACACATAGGTGTTGAGAGCAAAAGAGGAAAAGGAATGAAAAAAACCGATCAGTGATTAGAAATCGGTGTGATGTTTTCCCCTGGGAGATTGGAAGGAGGCAAAAAATTTGCTCACCCATCGGAGTGAGCCAGACTGATCATCCACATCTCCAGATTCCCATGCCCAAGGGGCAGACTCTAGCCAAGATTGTGGTCAGTGATGACTTGGCCTTAACATGCCAATGCACCACAAGGCACGTACTGTGCATTTGTGTCTGGCAAGCAGATTTTATGAGTACATAGACCCTTTGGTGAAGTCACGGGTTCAAATCCTGATGGTGACATTTTGATGGATGACTTCAAATCAACTTCCTGGGGTACATTTAATAGACACACAAGCTTCCAGTCTTTAGCTATATACCTGGTCAAATAACTGATTTGGGTAGAGTGACTCAACAGGGGATCAATCATCAATCAAAGAAAAAAGAGTGAGTCCCAGCAAAATTAAGAATGTCTATCTGCCAGAGGATGTTGGATTGCGAAAGGAAGTAAGGAACTAAAACTACAAGGATATGTGTGAGGTCCTGAAATGAGAAATGAATGCCATGTCTTCACTGGAATTGGGCCTTTAACAAATTCTATAAAAGGATTCGGACCTAAGAAAACGTGTCAGGTTAATATTGTATAGGCGTGTGAATACGGCGAGGAACAAACATTTAGCTGGAGTCCGAGAACCATGGTGTTGGTTATCTTTGCCATGATCCATATGCTTTGACCAGCAACGGTGTTAAGTAGTTGTTCCTGGATAGTGTCTATGTCTGAAGTTAGGAAGAGATTCAATTGCTAGAAAGAAAAACAACTTGATATGAGTTAGTAAAGTTGCAGTTCCAAAGAAAGAGATGACGCACTGGTGCTGCGGGGTTTGAGACGGTGACTTGGGTACTTGATACAACTTCGATTATGGTGACATGACCACAAACCTCAAGGTAAGGGACCCGGTAACTGAGTGGGATATCAGAGTAGTAGTTAGAGGAAGTGGTCTGAATCTCAATGACCCCCGTGGAGCTGACACCCGTGATGGGACCCTCAAATGTCAACCAGTTTCTTTGAGTGGGTGGAGATTCCATAGGAGCAGGTGTAAGAACATTGAGCTTGATATGAGGAATGGGATCTATAGAGGTGCCAGTACAACGCCAGGGGGTAGCATGGGGGACTCGGTACATTGTGTTAGGGCCGAGGCGAGGAGCATCGACAACAAAGGTGAAACTGCGGATTGAGAGCTGTGAGTGGTACATTGTGTCGAGAAAAAGATAAGAGGTGGTTTGAATTAGTGAGGAAACAGGATAATCGGGTAATGAACAGATCACACACGCTGAAATGTTCTCAGGGTGAAGGCTGCGATATAGGGTGGAGAGTGGGTTTAATAGGAAGTGTCCCTGGGGCATGCGTGTTAGGGCCGGAAGAGGTATAATGTATTGGATCCGGATTCGTGTTGACTTTGGAATTGAAAAAGAAATTCAGGTTTTAGATCCTATACCAGGAGCGGAATGCGATTCAGATCGACAACATCTTGTCCCTACGCATAACTTTTTGCTGGTGCGGTGATAATTTCCGAAATCTAGGCATGACACCTAACTGAAAAAGCCAAATGCATCGATGGGCATTCCTATTTGCCTTGTCTAAATTCCTATTCCTGTCCGTAAATGCTGTACTCCCATCGCTGTACTGCTATCAAGTTTTGTCTAAATTCGACAACAACTACTTAAAACAGTAAAAAAATAAAATGGATGGTGATCAGGAGGAAAAGGAAGCGCAAGAAGCCATATAAGATGCTGAAAAAGGAATAAATATTTTGGACCGATAGAGAACAAAAGCGACCAAAAGTTATTTAAGAAGCGACGATGATAGAGATAGAAGTTAAAGGAATGGTCAAACTGCAGGTTCAGTACAAGAATTAATGTCTTGTCGACATCGCTAGTAGCGATACCTGTTCAGGACTGGGGTTTGAGGTTTATGGTTAAACTTGTTAATGAGCGGGGGCCAGCATCATGTGCTGCGCCAGCAGCCAGTAACCTCCTCCAAGCTGCCGCCCTGTGATCTGAAAGGGCAAGCGCGAGTCGTGTTCTCTGCATCCAAGCATTTGTATCAAACTTCTTTTCAACTTTTTGCACCCCTCAAAAGAACTTGACTTGAATGGAGTTGCTCAAAAAATTGAATATCTTGGGCTTGCAGACTCTTTGCCGCCCTATCTGCCAACTTCCTCATCAAAATGAACACCATGAGCGGTCCACAAGTCGCGATGGATCCTCCAGGGACTGAAACGGAGCCGCTGGTTCATAAACTTGCCACAGGTTCTATAACCCAGTGATTATTGTTTTTGTTATAAGTGCTCATTGATTTGACATTGCGCAGTGAGAATGGTTGACATCACAAAATGAGGAGGTAGAAACCAAAACCACAACCTAACTTCAAACTCAAAACATGGCCCGCTCATCACGGGCGAGCATGCTGAAACCCTGCCCAAGCGCACTTCCCTACCCAATTTTATATTGAAATTCACAAGAACCGAACAAGAGTGAACCAGCAAACTCTACCTTCACCGGTTTCTGACTCATACTCCTTTCATCGAACCCTTAGAGGCTAGAAACACGATAAACGCCCCAACATTGATGCATCATGACAGGCATGCCCTTCGTGATTAAAGCGGAACACAGTGATTTTCCTCAGTCCTGGCCGGCCAGCTCCAGACGGCGTTTAGGACCTTATTTTACACTTCACGCATGACTCCGCACCGCTGGTTGCGTGAGTATTTATTTATTGATATATATATCATGTATTTAGCTCACAAATCAGCACAGGATTTGAGTTCAGTAAATTAAAGCCAGAAAGCAGCTGCAGGCACGTCAGAAGCTGTTCCGCCTCTTGAAATTATTGCAATAAAAATGGGCTGGCTAACACCCCCACATGCGAACCAACACATAAACCGCACAAAAACATTCGTTGAAATTCGATTGGGATTCTCGACTTCGCAGTGTGAATTGTGAGTCGAAGGGGCACATCAGTTCCCGAATTTTGCCGCCAGCTTTGGTGAGTTGTAGATCTGGATGTTATGTGACATGCGTTCAGAAAGACAAAACGCTCATCAAAAGTAGAGAAGTCTCGAGTGCTGGAGGTATATGCGCTGACTGGGTACTCGTACTGTAGAGCCATGGAAGACGAAAATGAAACAATGGACAAATCTGAATGGTTCTTTCCGCATAACTTAAAAAAGATTGAGGGGAGACCGCCAATATATTCGCAAGTACGCATCCTTTTGAATTGTTCATGGCCAAAACGACTGTTACAAGAGACATGAGAGCCTTTAAAAAAGAACAAGTCAATGAAAAACTAGAGAGAGAAAAAAACAGTATTATCTGATTGAAGGGATGTTTTTTAGAACCGGCAAGAGCTTTGCGAGGCTCTCCCTTACTTTCGCTCATATCAAAGTCAGTCTTTGCAGTTCATGTGGGAAAATCTGGTTTTCTAATTCCAAAACTTCCTAACAAAAAGACTTGCTTCCTAGGTGGTTGCTACGTTTCAGATCAGCGGGCAACAGGCTACCTGTTGGACGGTTTCCCAGCACCCCGTGATGTTTTTGAAGATTCTGGAAGGGTGGTAATCAGCCACGCGTGAGCCAGCTCAATTCTTATGCTGGACCGAAGAAGCTCTAATTTTTTTTTTTTTTTTTCTTTTTTCGATGAAGTGGGGGTGGATCCATAATTTCCCGACTTGAAGGATCGAAAGCGCCCAAATTGACATTGGCCAGATCTCAAGACAGAGAAAGTGCTCCGGTCCGAGCATTGCTCAAATGTAAGCATGAGTGCGTGCCTGTGGCTTTAATTGTAAGTCGGCCTCAATTCCCGTTTTGTTGGAAATTCTGATTGCTCACGATAATTTGTAGGCTGGGGTGAAATATGCGGGAATGCCATGGATTCGGAAATACGACTCAGTACGATACGCTGTACTTGGGCATTATCTAGTCACACATTCTTGGGTAAGCTATAATTTAACGAATGCATAGAAACAAGTTTTCTCTATGTTTCCAAATTTTGAATTTCGATGCTTTTTTCAGCCAGAACTAGAATCCATAGGCGAACCCTCAAATGTGCGTCGCTTTCGGTTCAAATGTAAGCAAAATAATGATGATAGATTAAGTTTTCTAGCCTCAAGTTTCTTCAACATTGACAATCTGCCTTCTAGTTCGTTTTCAATGGGTTTCGTCCCAAGGCGATCCTTGGTGGCTATCGGACTTGGAGGAGTATTTCAAATCTATGAAGCCCCAATCGGCAAACGCCTGTGGCCGACTGTCGCCCAGCTTGTCGGATGACAAGCGCCATCAAGCTACAAGTAAAATGGACGGCGAGCCGAACAGCATAAATAGGATTGATTCCTCAGACCGCGATATGATGGAATTAAGTGATGAAGAGCCTGTCACGTACCAGTGTAATGCTTGCGGCAGGCACAGCTTGAATATATACAAAGATTGTTGGATGTGTTTGAACGAAACTTGCATACATTTTTTTCGAACGAATGAATCGAATGGTCCTTCGCAAACCGAAGAAAAAATGCATTACGTCTGGTGGTTCTTGAAACACCAACAGTCTTTCGAGACAGAAACCCGGGTACCATTTTCACTCACACCAAAAACGTTGCAAAAACTCCGCGGGACGCAACTCGAATTCGAAGCCAATCAAGAACCAAAAACGGGATTCTATTGCAGCTCTTGCGGAAGACTTTCAATCAGGATCTATTGGGGATCCCTCGTTTGTTCCAATGAGGAATGTCAGGTAGGCCCCTTTGTCGTTATTGGGTGCGGTATCAAATGCGCCCATGGGCCATCATTATCCACGCTAGCTAACTTGGAAAGAAATACATGACAGTTTTCCGTGGATCTATCTGTAACATCACTGCCTCGTCCCTCCGATTTTCCGTCAAATTATCGAAATATGAACAGTACTACTTATGATTCGTTCTCATTAAACACAATTTTGGAGTTCCAAATTTCGGGTTATTGGGTCAGATGGTACAAGTTTCTTGACAACTCAGGCGGTGTTATTCACGCTACTCCAAGATCTGGCAGAAACAAATCCTTCGCGGATTACTTGTTTAGAGAATTTCAAACTAGTTTGGGTCCTTTGAGCTTGAGAAGAAGTAAAATGAAGACTAGCAGAAGTAAGCTCGTCGTCTCTTACCCTTTTCGGGGAAATATGGCTGATAATTCCATTCTTTGAAATGAAGTTGGTACAACCGTCGCACAGGCCTTCACGTGTGTCATTCTATCAAAATGGCATAACCATTTCAACTGTTTTTTTCTGATGAATAAGTGATTTTTCTAGTTTAAATTGCGGACAAAAATACAAATATTGCACAGGAAAGTTAGAAAATTGATTTGCTAGATCTTGTGGGGTATTCTGATTACAAATTTTGTTGTTTGCAGAAGTGGAAACAAAATCCTGGCACCAAGCACCACTGCCTGTTGTTCAGGCATACTCTGGGCTTTGTAAATTTGTCAGATTACTAAATGATGAAGTTTTAGAGAACCCCAACCAACTCGGACTCAACCTCTTGCCACAAAATTTCAATGAGCTCCTGACTTGCTTTTATCTACCTGGAACGGGAATGAAGGTATGTTTTTAAATAAGAATATGCATTATAAATTGTCATGACAGTCCAATTCACTAACATTTGAACACACTCACACTGAAAGTATCATTCAGACAACGAGGTTCTTATATGTCTTCTTGCTCATGGGTCTCATTTTTTGGAATTTGAAAATTATGCAAGGTGGCTGAGATTTTTTTTATCTATTCATTCATCCATTTATTTCAATCAGTCTGGTTCAGGTAGTGTTGTAGGCAGCTTAAGCCTGGGATCGACAGCAGTCATGGGGTTCAAAAGGAAAGAAAGTGCAACACCTTCAGGCAAAATTATCACAAAGGGGATTTCGTCCAATGCTTCAGCTCGTTATAAGACATGGCGACATTGTTCTTCAGTGTGGGTCAAGTTTGCAGAGGAAATGTAAACATTCAATCAAAACTGATGGTATGCGAATTTGTGAGCTGTTTTGACATGGATGACTGAAAACAAAGTTTGCCTGTTCCTTTTTGGAGTTTCATGCTGATGACTTATTGGAATTACAAAGCTACCACAGCGCGATACATTGATCCCAATTTGATGGCATAGCCATATTCCAGATCCTCAAGGAAAGAAAGCTTCAAGTGCATACTTCAAAGGAAATCAATTTTTCAAGCTTTTACAATATTCTCCAACTATAAGCTGAAGAGTTGGATACTGAACAGACACTCTTAAAACACATGATGCATGGCATGAAATAAAAATTGACAAGTGATCTAATTAGGATCCAATTCTCCTCTGAAACTGGTGTCAAGACCGCACATTTATGTGATGTAAATGTTTCAGTCTGCAGGGTGGTTTGAATAGAAATATTTAATTAAGCTCAGAAGTTGTCCCCACCTAAATGTGTGGTTGGCAATATTGGCTGATTGATTTATGAATAAGGAAGAATAATACTGAATATAAAATGAATCTAGAGGAAATAACTAGGGTTGAGACTGGGCCAGATCAACCCAAGGGAAGGGCTACCCATGTCAAAATAATATTGGGTTAGGTTTGGATGCCTAAATTTGACACAGGTGCCCAAGTAGCAAAATTGAATGGGCACCTAGGGTTAGGTAGATGGTTCACAGGCAGCTCATCTTGTCTAGACAGTACATAGACTCAAAATATAAGAAATCCACCATTAGAAACCAGTCAATTATCAGTTAGTTTATTTTTCACCAATGGGTCCTCAAAGGCACAAGATGAAGAACCAGCATGTTTGATTTTTTTTAGGTAGATGGTTCACAGGCAGCCCATCTTGTCTAGACATTACATAGACTCAAAATATAAGAAATTGTGAGCCTGGGTCTCAATAGTGACAGCAGGACACAAGTTTTGGGGGGCACTTTTATATGTATTTCTTAAGAGAAAAGAAATACAAATAAAATTAGAGGAAAGGAAGAAGAAGAGTGAAAGAAATAGATGATGTTTTTTGGTCTTTATTTATTTTATGATGATGATTAAGGTTCTGGAAGTCTTACTGTCCTTTTTGGATGGCTGCTGACAGTCTTACTTTCCTTTTTAGGATGGCTGTTATAAGCGGAGCTAACTCTACGCCTCCAAATCAAAAGAAACTGAAATGGGTTATTGATACTGATGAATCAGTTCAACCACAATTTTGAAGATCAAAGATCAAGGTTCTTTAAAGGGAAAATTATGTAGTTTTCAGTTGTACTACCAAAAAGGTGCGTTGACAAACGTACTCCCTCCCCCTCCCCGCCCGCCCACGCCCCCGCTGTGGAACTTTTCAAGCTAAAGAAAAGAGCTCAGAGGGGAAAAGAACAACTACACAGGGGAAAATGTGAGTTGAAGACTTGAGTGCTGATGAAGCTGCCCTCTTGTAAAGGCTTGGGAGAGAGTTACACTAAGAATTAAAGAAAAAGGTGTGGCTATCTCTGTGGGTAATCTTAGTATGAGATTTATTACTGATGTCTTGTACAAGTCACCTGCTGAGAGATAGAGGATGTGGGGATTCTGGTAAGGATGAGGATCTGGGGGTTAATTGTTTCTGGATTCAATTTCTTATCTTCTGGGGGAAAATCAATAATAATTACTTCTGGTAACTACTAGTAAGTGATGTCTGCTAAGTAATTATCTGTTTACTTCTCTAATGCAAGCGTGGGGAACAAAGTAAGTGGGAAAGGGTATTCTCTATATACATGTGGGTGGTTCTGATCAGATACTAGTGGTAAGATATCAGCTGATGTAAGAAGATGGTATGAAATAAGTTGTATCTGAAAGACAATTGGTTATGAAATAAATGTGGCTGACAAACGTGTAGTGTGAAATAAACATGTTGAAAAGGAGAAAATATGAAGTAACTTCTGTTTGTGATAAAAATAATATGTAGTGCAAAAAGAAAGACTGAAATAAATATTCTGAGGTGAGATGAGAAATCTGTGTGGTGAAATATATATGTAGGTGATATAAGCAATGAGTAATGAGTTGAAATGAGATGTATTATGAGAATGTAGGTGATATAAGCCATGTGTATTGAGTTTGAAATGGAATGTAAGAATGAAATACTTGTAGTATGAAATAAATGTAGAATAAAATAAATGTAGAAACTTGTTTGATGAAAATAAAAACTTCAAAGAATATCTTGCTCCTACCAAATGTAATGCTCTGAGCTTATCCTCAGCAGCCATCATTGCTTGAAACCTAATCTCATCTAGTCTACCAGTACTGTTTCACCTCATCAAGATTTTTGGATTCTCTTCTTGTTGATTATTTGACTCCCCATTCTTTTCTAATCCACCAACATCATCTGATCAGTACTCCTTCCCTTCCAAAAACCTCCCTTGTCTATTTTCCCATCTTCTATCTTCTGTTATCTTTATCCCTAGTTATTTTTATTATTATTCTATTCTCCTATATCTTTTCCCAGAAGCTCTTCTCAATATGGTGAGAAAAAATCTTGCTCTTTTCATCATCATTTATCTTTACTCATCATCTTAAAGTGCAAGGTGAGAACAAACCAGGAAGATCAATAATTTGGGACTGTTTGGTCAGTTGATAAGTGCCGTCTGTTGGGCCAGAGTGGTGCCACACTTATTGAATCCTCTGACCAGAAGAAGAAATGCTCAGATAGAAAACCTAAGCAGCTCAGAAAACCAACTTTTCAGTGGTTGGTTCAGGCAGAAGAATTGAGGACCTCCCCAGACTAGGTAGTATCACTGCAACTTTTTTTCCTGATGAAGATAGCTGTAAAAATGGAATTGATGTACAAATGGATTTTCTTGGAAAGTAATAACATCCAGTTTGATTTGTCGGCCAGGAGGTAAATGGTACCTGTCATGAGACCCATCAAGATCAAGCGGGATATTTTTTTTTTCAAGCTTGATGCTTATAATCTCACAACTTGGTTTTGTTGTAGATGAGGTATTTATCGATTGCAGGAGAATAAGACAAAAAGAAGAAATTGATACAAGGAATGGTAAAACAATGTTTCACTCAATGAAAAAAAGCAAAGAAAAAAAGGGATCCAAATCAGAACGAGTGACTTCTTGACCGGACAGAAAAGATGAAAATGTGAGGAAATATCAGTTACTGGTTACTTTCCAAATCAATTACAGTTGTTGAGAATTGCTCACCCTAATTTTCTGATCTATCGACCTGACCCTGTGAGTTTATCCGAATCGATTAGAATGCATCACCCAGACATGAGCGAGTAGGAAAGCTGTGGAAGACTGGTGTGAAACCTCGATTCATTAGTCAAAGACTGGCTGAAGATTGCAGATTTTAAGAAGCCTACTCCACGACCGATACTCGTATTGATGGAGGGTTGAGAGGATGTGATAAATCCAAGGGCGATTGAAATAGAAAGGCAGAGAGAATTCAAGCTTGAAATGAAATGAGCAGAATCATGTGAGTTGATGATCGATTGATCACACGAGAGGAATTCAGTCAAAAGGATCATGATCGCTTACCTGTGTAACCGGGCACTTTTACAGGTAAGTTAGGGCTTAGGAGTAGCTGCTGCTGCGGCGCGTAGAAGGACTGAAGTTACTGGAAAACTAAGCACGAGATCGTAGCTATTTGCATGAGTGAGAAAAGAGCGAAAACAATGACCAAGGCAGGGTTATTTATACCCTGCTGGATGCCTAGAGATGGAAGAGACAACGGCGGACCACTGTAGGACCTGTGGGCCTAACAGCGCCTGAAACTAGAGAAAAGAAGAAGAAGATCGCAGTGGGTGAGAGCACCCACTGATACAGAACAACTAGAAGGCGTTTGAGCCTGAAACGCGTGCGTCTTTGAAAGAGACTAGAAGAAATATGGAAAGGAACCCGCGTCGTCCTGGGGGCGAGGCGGTCGTGGGTGTGTCGTGATGTTGGCCCAAGCCAT